TAGTCGAGTAAAGAAGAGAGATGGGTGATTTCCAAAAGCTCTTATAAATAATGAACAATCCTAAAGAGATTTCATTAGGGTAACTGAATAAATCTTAGCCAATGCACAATTATTCTGGTGCCCCATGGAGGTATAGAGATCTCATTTCAGGTACACTTGTTTAAATATATTAAATGACATATTAAAGCATGTAATTTAACATTAATTGTTCATATTAAATTCAATAGAAATATATATATATATATATTATTTTTTAATTAAAATAGTATCTATTGCATGTGGTTGTCCTGACAAAATACACTAATAAAATACAAAATTTATATAATCTGTGCATTAGTTCACTGTTTAGTTTGGACTCATTATTACTAACATATCCAAAAATATGGCTGAATAGTCTCTTATGCTCACCCATATGTTTATTTGATGTAAAATACTGTAATATTGTGAAAAATTACTAATTTAAAATAACTGTTTTTCTATTTTGTTGTATTTAAGATTATTTTTTGTTATGTTTTATTCCTGTGATGCAAAGCTGAATTTTCAGCATCATTACTCCAGTCTTCAGTGTCACATGATCCTTCAGAAATCATTTTTAATCAGTTGATTTGCTGCTCAAGAAACACACTATTATTATTAACAATGTTGAAAACAGTTTTTGCTGCTTAATATTTTTAAGTCAAAACAGAACTATTTTCTAATGTATAAAATATATCTAAGATACTTATATGGAGGGTTTATCACAAATATAATGCATGCTATATAAAATTTTTATCGGTTTTGAATTAATTTGGCATCATGCACTCACCTGCTTCTCATGTCCCATCCCATTCTCCTCAGTGAGCCGTACAGACCTTGTCTGGATAGATTACAAACTAGCACATGATTAAAATGACCCATAGGCCAGGGTATCCCAGAGATCTGGAGGAAGAGAGCTAGATCACTGCTGCCAGACATGGACAACTGAACTCCAAGCGTACGGACGCTGTGACCTTTATGTGTGGAGGTAGAAAAGCGACACGGCCACATTACCATAGAGGACCAATTACAGTCATTGTGTGATCACGCTGATCTGAGATCAGATTTCAGCCCATAACCCTACATTTCGGCTAAGAGTCACAGCGTGGTCGGTAACTGATCTCAGATATTAAAGTGGCAGTTAACCGTAATGTGGTCCAAGGTTCATTACTCAGGGGAGAGTCAGGTAGCCACAACAGAGGAGAGTTTCAGCGGAGGTATCACACACACACGTGCGGTACAAACATTTTGGGTTGTGACAAATTCATAAACAAGCGTCTAGCATGTTTACATATTGCATTTATTTGATTGATGCATCTACTACTTTTGCAGGCATCAAATCAAATTTGAACACTCAGGTCACAAGGTCAAATTAGAACATGGTGCTTAATGGTAAATAATATTAACAGAACTGCAAGTATTTGGATGCACTTTGTAACTACACTTTTGATTTCTAAATGTATTTAACAACAACATTGAATGTAAAATCTCTAAATACACTTAAAGCAAATATTCTATACATGGACAGACACACGTAGCCAATATATAAAACATATTTAAAAACATTTTTTAGTAAGAATCTTTTGAGCATTTGTGCTCAATTACAAGGACTAAACGTTGAATATCTGCAGGATCTGCATAAACTAAAGTTTGGGGGTCAGAATTTATTTATTTAATAAAAGGAACTAATACTTCTATTCAACAAAGACACTTTCAATCGATCAAAAGTGACATTAAATATATTTTCAGTTACAAAATAAATGCTATCGTTTTGAACTTTATAATAAAAAAAGACCACTCTTTCCACAAAAAGATTCAACAGCACAACTTTTCAACACCGTTTAGCATATTAGAATGATTTCTGAAGGATCATGTGACACTGAAGACTGAAGTAACTGCTAAAAATTCAGTTTTGTCATCACAGGAATAAATGACAATTTAAAACATAATAAAATAGAAAACAGTTATTTGAAATTGTAATACTATTTCAGAATTTCACTGTTTTTACTGTATTTTAAATGCAGCTTTGAGCACAAATATAAACTATAAAAAAAAACAAGCAGACAAAGAACTCTGTCATCCACAAGAATCTTTATCTTTCATCATTGAATAATGATGATACAAAATACAACATAAAACACTGGCAGTTGGGGACACTGATCAAATTGTTTGTTTATGCGGTGGACCCACAGTCGACAGGACGCGGTGAAGGGGAAGGATTGGTCTTGGCACCAGGCCGCGAGGAGAGATGAAGTTGAATGGATGTAAACAGAGAAGGAGTGAGAGAGAGGAGGATGCTTCAGCTTAAAAAGGCGATGAGGTCAGGAACACAAGGACAACAAGCACACATGGAAATGATACAGATATACATTTGCAAATAAGGCACTTGTGACAACATTTGGAAACTTAAAATAACTTTGTAAAGCTAATCTAGATGGCCCATTCCACTAGCAAAAATGCATTAAATGCTGAGCACCTGTATTGACACTGACTTTCATATATTAACAAAAGCAATACTGGACCACAATTTGTTAACCTGTTGCTTAAATTATAACAAGAGATCATGTGGAATTGAATATGACACTTAAAAGAATAGTTCACCCAAAAATGAACATCATTTATTCACCCTCATGTCATTCAAAAACTTTCTTCTGCAAACATAAATGATTAACTATTTTGTCCATACAATTAAAGTCAATGGCGTCCTGTGTTGTTTGCATCCCAAGTTTCTTTTGTTGTCCACAGAAGAAAAGTCAGGTTTTGGAGCAAAATGATGGTGAGTAAATAATGACAATGTTCATTTTAGGGTGAACTGTGCCTTCAAGGTTTAACATGATCTCATATAAAGCTGCAGACACTGGGCAAACAGTACATACTGGAGGACATATTGGATCCTTTCCATAACTTTTTCTTTTTTTTTTAAACTATGGAATCCATTTCCTATAAATGCCACAAATGCAAGTCAGTTTTTTAATTATGTCAAACAGTTTGCTAACAACACAATCATTATAATGCATTTTACATTAGACGGAGAGTTACAAAGTGCATCCAGCACTCAATACTGACTGTTATTGTAATTATTCATCATATAAACGGAAGAGAAAAACACTAACTACAGGTTCTCCTGCCAAGAAGTACTTTGTTTTTGCTTTTTACAAAGTCATTTTCCACATACTGCATAAATTATCAGCTTAGCTGAAAATATCTGGACCTTAAATAAAAATAATCTTAAATGAAAAACCAGGGGAAAAAAAGAATACTAAAAAAACCCACTTTAAAATAACTGTAACTAATATATTTAAGAATGCATTTTTAACAGAAATGTGTTACAGGACACATGCCGACCAACACAAATATTAGATACGAGATTCTTTCACACACACACATTAGTTGCTTCGTTTGCCTTCAAGGTTTAACATGATCTCATATAAAGCTGCAGACACTGGGCAAACAGTACATACTGGAGGACATATTGGATCCTTTCCATAACTTTTTCTTTTTTTTTTAAACTATGGAATCCATTTCCTATAAATGCCACAAATGCAAGTCAGTTTTTTAATTATGTCAAACAGTTTGCTAACAACACAATCATTATAATGCATTTTACATTAGACGGAGAGTTACAAAGTGCATCCAGCACTCAATACTGACTGTTATTGTAATTATTCATCATATAAACGGAAGAGAAAAACACTAACTACAGGTTCTCCTGCCAAGAAGTACTTTGTTTTTGCTTTTTACAAAGTCATTTTCCACATACTGCATAAATTATCAGCTTAGCTGAAAATATCTGGACCTTAAATAAAAATAATCTTAAATGAAAAACCAGGGGAAAAAAAGAATACTAAAAAAACCCACTTTAAAATAACTGTAACTAATATATTTAAGAATGCATTTTTAACAGAAATGTGTTACAGGACACATGCCGACCAACACAAATATTAGATACGAGATTCTTTCACACACACATTTGCTGCTTCGTTACAAACTCAACAGACAAATGTTAAATGCAAAAAGCAGCACACTGATTTAGCTCCTTTGGGACGGGATATCATGGCAATACAAGTCTTTAGAGCCTTTGTAAAGTGGTAGTGTTGCAAGACTGGGTCAGTAATGTTTATTAGTGCAACTGGATTGGGGAAAGATCAAGTTTTCTAAGTAAAGCAGGTGTGAGAAAGGTCACTTGGTGAGGTTGTTATTATATAGTGAACAAATGGGTGACACAAAACAAAAAATTCCAGTCAGTTTCCGGCAACTTCAGAACTCAAATACTGAGGGATTCTTGGAAATCTGACAGTTGACCAGACAAAACATGCAAAAACGTATTACTGACAAGTAAAGGGAGGATAACAGTGTGTGTGTGATGCCCAAAAGACAAAAAGGAAATGAAAACTATGAACGTCAGTACAACTTTGTACTAATAAGGCACTAAACACCTAATAAACTAGAGGAAATATTTCCAGTAAAGCAAGTGAACATTGGATTCACTAACATTAGACAAGACCCTGAACAAACAAAAGGGTTATTTAATGATACAGTGCCTATTAATAGTGTTTTAAATAGTTTGCAAGGGGAAAGAAGTTACATCTTTCCTCCTTTTCAAAGTATGTCCATTTCCAAAAATTAGTATCATATATATATATATATATATATATATATATATATATCTCTCTATATTTATAGTGTGTGTGTGTATGCTCTGTCTCTTTTCAA